TCTTAAATATCGCACAACACTTCACCAACCAACTTTACTCGCAAAATTCGTCCAGGATTAATTTATCCGGAAATACTTTTCGAAATCTGCAGTTAATATAGATTATTTAATGTATAAATTCATATAAAACTCTTAATTTCATTACACATTATTACATAAAACTTTCTATAATTAAATATAATAATAAATAGAAACATGGCGCAAAAATTGCGCGTAAATAAAAATCTGCTCATAATTTCAAACTTGTAGATCGAATATCAATTTCTCGTTTTTTCGATTTTAAAGCGGAAACTTGTTTCCCATTTTTCCCGATAATAGTTACATTCTAAAAAAAAATAAATAAAAATAATATCGGTGAATATCCTTATGATTAGATGATGCTGAGATTGTGACCTTTAATATAAATAATTTAGTGTATATATTTTAAGATTATTTATATGGTTAGGATAGGATAGGATAGGATATTAAGTAGTTAATTAATAGGTATTATGAATTTAGATGAAGGCCTCAATTTCAGTATCAAAAATGTTATCATCAAGCTACCACATTAATAACCAGAATATTACCTTTTGACCTATTAATGAATCCAGCATCTTTTGTTTTGAATGTTTGTTTCCCAATCCAGGATTCATCCTGTGTAAAAGAAGGTTAGTATATAGCTTAGGATGGGAACAGTCATGACGAAAAAATTTGTTGGTCCCGTGATTATCATGATAGTTGATTATTCATCTGATTGGTTATCAATCCTTATTTACAGTACCTATATGAAAATACATAAATCGTTATACCTGATTAAATTGCTAGAAGCAAGTGACTTTGAAGAATAGATTCTATCTGCGATATTAAATTTTTATAATAAATAAGTATCAAAATTTTAAAGAAATTATTCTTTGAAGGCTTCCTTTTAGCAAGTTTAATCAGGTACAATCAAATTTTGTTAACGATTTATCATATTATCAATTATATATTTATATAGAGCGTCTACTATATGTAGTCGACGAAATTTCAAGGATCGAACCAAACCAAATGGATAATCTTATTGCCCAAATCGATTTTAACTTAAGTGGTATAGGGAATATAGTTCCTATTTGAAAAACAGAACAATATTGAGCGTATTGGGTTTGGGATTATAATATATTAGTACCGATTCAGTCGTAAATTCATGCTATCTGCTATAATTCAAAAACAAAAAAACAAAGATAATCGGAAATTACTCACAATTTGCTATGAACTAAGCTTTTAAACCATTAAGCAAAAATCTTTTGCACAAAGTTTAGGTATGTTCTCATTATTAATGTTAGTATCAAACGTTAAATAAATGTTTAGATGAATATCCCAAGGTACAGAAAAATTTTTGCGTCATCTCTCAGTGTTGAAAATTCAATAAAATTCAGATATTTAAGTTCTCATGAGAATACGAAAATATATTTAAATTTTCAACACTGCTCTCATTAACATGTAAATCAAAAATAAACTACGTACTTTTCGATAACCTTTTTCTCACGTTCCTTAAATTTTTTTTCTTTTTTCTTTAACCGTTTTTTTGCGGCACGTGCCCGTTTTTTCTCATCTAAATCCATTTCAGTGCTACCCTAATTAATTATATAACTTTATAAGCTCAACAATTTCAACAATTTAATATAGATAAATTCTTAAAAAAAAAGAAAAAAAAAAACCTTTATTTCTTGTTTTTTCTTATCATATACTTCCTCAGGAGCAAGTAATGTACCATCGCTCACGTGAACTGGTATTACTTCCTCCATTGCTATAGCTGGTACATCGGCAATGACAGAAATTTCGGGCCTGGGCTATTTATTGTTTTAAAAATAAACATAATTAAATAAATAAGTATTGAAATCATTTCTACATGGTTTATTGAATTGTAGCTTACTGGCTTTGGTGTATAATGGAAATTACTCAAAGCATCTAATTTGTGACATAGTTCTTTAAACATATTTTCAATCTCCTGATGTTCTTTTTTTAATGCTTCATCCTTCTCATCCGGTATGTCGGATGTTTGTTTAACATAATTTTCCTCATATATCTCTGCTAAGGACTTTTTTGATTTTTCATTCGATATTTCAACCAACTTTGATGGTAAAAATGGCCTAAAATTCGGATCTTGTTTACGCTCAACGTCATCGAACGTTTCCTGAAATTAAAACTACTATATTAATTATACTTAAATATTCTATAATCGATAAAAGTGTTATTAGAAAAGTTTTATAATTACGTCCAAAATCCTTTGTTTTATCATATCTTCAAGTTTCATTGTAACTTCTTCAGTGATAATAGGAACTGGCTATAAAATTAAAATTAGACATGCAAAAAATTCGGAATTATCATAACTATTATATTAATCCTACCTTTATGACATGATCGAATTTTAAATCCTCTTCTAATAAACTATTTAATGGCCTATGTTTGCTTGATACCTAAAAACAATATTGACATGATTAAAATATCGTAGAAAACACATCAAAAATGTTAAAAATAGATTACCTCTCCCATAAGCGTCCAATCTTTATCAGCAACATTCTCCATTTCTAGCTGCTCTATTTGTTTTTGTATTTTTTCTTGTTTTTTCTGGAATGAAGTTTTTTTATCCCCTGTAGTTATATTTATTATAATAAATTATTATATGTACTCTTTCAACAAAAAAAAAAAGTTTATATGCGAGATTTAAGATACCTTTGTCATCACTCGTATCTTTAGCGAATAGATCATAGACCAAATTATTCAAGGATTCATCGTTATGTTCA